CACTTCCCACGTGTTCAACCCTCTGTAAGCCATAGCCACTTGATTGAGACATATGTTGCCTTATCGGTAACTTCAGCCTGGGTTATAATACAGGTTTACACTCACAGTCAAGCACATTTTAAAGTTTTAAGGATGATCTCGGACACACGTCCAGGTCCACCATGCAATTGGACCATGCAATTATGGAGCTTGAGTAATACACATTTTGACAACTTGAATTGAGATTGTACATGTACATGTAGGTCTACACGTAGAGTTAGGCAAGGCTTCAAGTCAAACCGAGGACTTACCCCCACATGTACCGGACCTCAAATGTCAATTTTTGGATGTCATAGAACTTTCATGTTCACTGTCATTTTTCTTTTAAGTCTGAATCCCCTTACATGTACATGGACTTCATGTACTCCACATGAAAAATGTAGATTTGCTGAAGGGCCACGCAAAAAATAAAAGTTGCTCTGTGCAATTTTTGTGCAATCCAGGTGACAACCAGTATAAATGTAACTTTCCAGCACCTTCAGGTATATGGGTAATTCCAGAAATTAGGGGTCCATTTTTTTCGTTTCCCTGTCACATCTGACATATGATTTTGTAAGTTCAGAACACATTTTCTCATTTCCAAGAGCGATGAATTAATGCAAATTACCTGCCAAATAAATANTAATTTCTGGAATTACCAATTTAGAGGTACAGTGTACACTGTATGTAAATGTATGATTACTGTACGTGTTAATGTATGTACATGTCCATAAATAAAAGCATTCAGGAATAAAAAATACAATGTACATGTAGTTTTGTAGGGCAAGAGTTGTAGCATTGGTGCAAACCAGGCCTCCCATTTCACTGCAGCCGCAATCCATCCAGACTAGACGGTGATATCGGCACCGGCAGGTGCTCCGACAGGTTGGGTGTAATCGCCCATGCTCGGCTTGCTCGCGGCATCTGTGCGCACATCACGCGGGAAGGATGGGAACCAACTGTGCCCATATCGGGCAGTACCTTGAAGTGCAGACCCTAGCATCTATTGCCTGATTACTGCACATGCCGCACCCACACATGAATTCTCACCGTTTTCGAAAATGGGTGTTACTTGAGAAACTTTTCAGATAAGACACTGCGGTGATATCCCTCAAAAATACCAAACACACTCTAAATGTACTACTGTAGAAGCTACATGTACTGTACATTTACCTATTTAATTGGGTCATTCCATGAGGTTGGGGTACAGTTTGTGACGGTGTCCTTTGTTACATGGGTTTCGTAAAAATTGAACACCTATTTCCGTCCATGTGGATTCCAAATTGACATTGTTATACATCTTGCAAGGCTGAATAGAGGGGTTTCACATTAGCGCCGTCTGCGCATATCTACATCGAAACCGAGGCTCTCTGTGTTGAACTTCGTCGCGCGCGCCCGCGGAGTCCACACAGTACATGGAGTATCCGGTTCGTAAGTGTGACATCACTTCAGTTTAAACCACGCCCACTGCACAAGATACACGACCATCGCAGGTCCGCTAGTTCGCGGTCAATTGTCGTTATTTTTTCTTTTGATTTTATGTGTCGAGTCATCCTGAAAGACTCTTCCACAAAAATTAGCAGCCTGAAAAGTCTGAATTTAACATACCTGTATGTATTTTGTGTCTTAACTCCTTACTTTCAATCGTCTTATCATATTAAGAATTGAAGCTGACACATACAGCCTCGTTTTCAAACGTGGAAGTCACCGATCGACGCTAAAAGCGTCGTATTGGGATCCCCCTATACAGAGGTGTGTGTTATTTTTACAGCTTAAATAACCTCCTCTACAGGCCATGACAGGTGGTAAAAGTTTTGGATGTAACAAGGACATCGTCACAAATTGTGCCCCAACCTCATGGAAAGACCCATATTGCATAAAAGAAAACCATTGGTCCATGTACATACTGTACATTGGACGCGTACATATGCGGCACCCATGTGTGGATTCTGAAGCTAGCAGTTTTTCACTTATTTACGTATGAAGCATGAAATTAGACAGGGTCGGGGATAGAATACACATGAAGTTAAAGTAACCATCGCTAGAGAACTGTGATTTAGTTTGATTATACTGAGATAATTATTCATGTTAACCATTATTTTAATTATTCATATTAACGATCAGACGCTATCCTCATTGCTTGAAGCGGAATATTAAAGAAACGCCAGTACACTGAAGCAAAGAGTTTCAAGCTCATTTAATCGCACTACCATCAAGATATAAAATTATGGGGTAAAATCTCGACAGAGACCAGTAATAGTCAGTGATTGGTGGCTTTCTGTGCCCATTGTTTTTTATTTCATTTCACTCAAAATGTACTTGTAGATTGTGCTGAAATTGCTATCCTAACATTTTAAAATCATGTTGGGGAAAAAATTGGGAAATTTTGGGGTTTTTGTTTTTGTCTGTTTTAACTGTATAATCAGGGTTGGTGCATCCATAATCCAACTAATAAAAAATGTTGACTGAATGGAAAAAGTTTTCCCCAGAAGTCTAACATGCGGTTTTGGGGTGGCACAGCCTGATTGGCAAGCCTTCCGAGCAGTGACTTGCAGACACAGGGTTCAAATCCAGCTGCTGGTCACATGCAGCCCCTCTATTAGACACAATGTAAAATAATCTACCTGCATGGTAGCTCTGGTTCGATCTCGTCTCTCGCTTCGCATGGCGTTGAAGTCCGGACAGGCCAGAGAAGTGTTTGTCTTTGTGTCCAGTAAGAGGTCATCATCGGTCAACTGACCATCCTGTGCGCTGATATGACCATTCATTGCGCAGCACGGTTCAGCAGGTTAGCTCAGCTAGGGAAAACAATGCACAACATTACCAGGAAGTAAAGAATACAATTAATTTATCATTCCGGGCTTTGCAATACTGTTATGTTTCGTGAAAATTTTCCATTTGAAATTACGCACTGGGCGTGATCAACCAATCTGCACGACTGCCCATTCACTGAGCAATTAGTTGATAAATGATTCTAAGTACAATGTCTAACTGTATTTCCTTTTCTTGAAACAATTTTTTTACACCGTGCATTGGAAGAAAAGGAGATCTGCTGATGAGAAAATTACCAACAAGTCATGCACTTAAATTGATTGATGGTGCAGAGATCGAGTGATCGCACATAGGCCTACATGTATAAGTTATTCTCAAGCATGTGATTAATCTACCCGGCACTTAAAGATTACGTTTTAGAAAAGAATATGGATGCCACTAATTTCACCCCTCAGTGACCAATGCGCCGTCTGAAAGCAGTAAAGTGTCCCAAACGATCAAATTCAGCAGTGAAAACACTGAGGTAATTATGTAAATAATACACCACTTATAAGTTTCAGACCAATCTCATCATGCCGATGGACGTCGGACAGATGGACATAATGGAGTTTGGGCACAGCGTGTGAACATGGTCAAGAAGAAAATTCTTTTTTATATATGCATACATGTACCTACATGTGCACGACAAATCGCATCTGCTTGGTGTTTCCTTTATCAAACAGCTTTTCAGTCCGAGTAAGATTACTGGTTACCACATGTATTGCTTGTTATGGCTTACGCTGGTTACAGAGCTCGGGCAGCATGGCTTGGAGACTGGACATGTTCGAATGATCACAGCAAGCTGGCATGGCGCGAAAGCAACGAGAAATTTCCAATCAAATGTCAATATTCATAATAATCAACATTTATGCTGGGAGTCGCATAGCCTACCTTTGTTAAAAGTCATGCGATGTCACACATCATGAACTTGATGCATCTTGCATTTTTTCGTCGATATCTTTTTTGGAGAATATTGCAGTCCTCAAGAGTCAAAACGCGATTGTCAACTCAAAGTCTAGAATGTTGTTTACATGCTGCCACTGGTATTCGTTAGTGAACGTGAACACACGGAAACTCGCCTAGGAACCAGCGTTGAGATGAACCCGTTTTCACAAATTGGCCTTAAGAGGGCGCTAGGACGAAAGTACGGCCCATCTTATTTCTATGGAATGCCTAAACCGTTAATATTAGCTTCTTAAAAGCGAACCGCTTATAATGCCAAGTTATGCCTTTATATGCCTCTGGTCAGACCCAACGGTCACGGAATTTAGTGGCATAGTTGATCAAAGAGCAAAGGCTAGTAGCACGTCGCACGTCATGCCGCCATTGCATGTTGTTGATCAGCTGGCTGCAACTTTGTAACCTACCCATTGATCTCCATTAATGGAGATCAATGAACCGTCTCATGGTCAACCTCGTTCCCATGGGTACGATCTTGCCACGCCATGTTGGTTCCAACCATGCCTAGCGCGATCTAACCCCTGATGTTATATAATTTAAATATCCTATATTTAGGATATTTAAATTAGGCCTTCATGTATATTCATTCTGAATAGACATTCAGCGTCAGTTTCGAATTCTACACGACCAGGGCTGGTGAAGGGACGCGCACGCACCCCATGGAGTCGAGGTTGACCCATGGTCCACTGTTTGTGTTCGACGTCATCATTACGCAGTCGTAACGGATCTATCACAGGGATGAGCTGCCGAAGAATTAGTCTGGTTCGTTTAACAAATTACCCTTCAGACTTGTGGCAGGGAATCAGTCTACTCGTGAACGTTCAGGCGGTGCAGAACTAGAGGGCGCTGTTTTGAAAATATCGGGGAAAAATGACGCGCACGTTCAAAATCGACGCGCGCTGACCAAAGACCGACAATTTTTTTCTGCTTTACCGGATGAGCAGTTGTGATTGCCGTTTGCAAAAAGTATCTGTTATTTTTGAGGGCAACTAGGTGAGCCATAGTATTGCACATTGTGTGTGTGGACATTTTTGAAGAGGGTGAACTCATCATCGGAAGGATTACACCCACCCCACAAACAATAGAGTCCTTTGACATTAAAACCAGCGTTGCCGATCTCAACAAGCAGTGGCGGTTGCTGCTGAGGAGATTGAGGGAAACATAGTTTTAAAACACAAGAAGGTGGTTTACGGGATACCCCATACGTTTTTTTCTCCTTCTTCTTCTTGGTCTTGCGGTTTTTCATGTTTCAAAAATTAAACAGCAGCAAATTATACATTGCGAGACGTAGTATCGCTTAGTTATCAAGAACTCGACTAATTTTTTGCAAGTAACTCGTTGTCACTTTGACGCGCCGTATATATTGCGCGTGATTGCCCTGGGCAAGTCCTGACGCCACCACGTGCGCGGTTTGGTGGCAAATCTTCAAAATGGCCGACGTAGCAGGTAAGTTGTTGTGTTGAAAAGCATACTCAAATTTCACGAATAAATGAATCCGCATGAAGTAGTATCATGGACATCCTTGTAATTAACTCTCTGCTTCTGCAGGAAAAACATGATTGCGTTGTTTTGGTAAATCAAAGTGAACTTCATGGACGAAAAATTGTAAGACTTCCAACATCGAGTTCAGCATGTTTTATACATACATGTAGATAGGCCTAGGCCCAAGCCTAGGCCTATGTTATAGCATCTTACTTCTTAGCATATCAATTATGCTATTTAGCGTCAATATAACAAGCGTCAACACACACAAGTAGCGTCAACAAAGCGTGAACAACTTGAAAATACCCTCTACAGATTTAAAAGGGATTTTATTATATTTGAGAGACTCTAACACTTGCCGTGCTTGCCATTGTATAAGCATGATGAGAGAAACTACAAATCTGCTTCCAGATTCTCGCAGGAAAACAAAAATTTTTCATGATGTGTGAGGCTGTCAGGCCGCCATCTTTCTTTCCTCTGCTGTCCACACAAAACAAGATGGCAGCCGGTCGGACTGCACAAACAGGCCTGCCCGACTTTATCGCTCAAATTTCAATTGTCAAATATCATTTCAGATAGATAATACATTGAGTTTGATATGTACAGGGGGGTGTAGGATCCTAATTAACATTTTATATAAGAAATCTTGGCATAAATATGCTTGAATAACTTGTTGACGCTCGTCGAAGCTTGTTGATGCTAAATAGCATGACAGTGCTAGTCACAACTTGCATGCAATGTGGACTGGTTGAAAACACTGTTTATCTGAACATTATCAGGACACAGTGTGCATAGATCCCATGATATTGGTCTAAAAGCCCCTGCGTTTTCTACGTAAAGGCCCTCAAAATTTTCCCATGTAAATTTGACATTTTACTAGATTGTTGTTTGGGTGGCTGCTGGAGAAATTTTTCTCCAGAAATTAGTGACGTCCATGCATGGACTTCTTCCCTAACTGCAGAATGTTGAATCAGTTGGCATTGATTGGAGCTTGTGAAAGAGTTCCATACACACACGCCACTTGACACCCTGTGCACAGACCCTATGGGACTGGTCTGAAAAATTCCAAGTGTTTTCTAAGTACCGGTAACTAGCTTTTTCCTCTCCTAAATTGAATTTTTCTGGACACGTTTTTTGCTCTCTGACGGCTAATATGTCACTTTAACGAATAATTACTGGCGTCTGTATATGGAACTCTGCCTGGATCTTGCTTTGTACAGCTCCCTTGACCCTTTAACTTCTGTGATTTGCAGAAACGCCGGGCAAAAAGAGCAAGAAACACAAGAAGCCGAAAGAGAGCTCCCTTGGAGTAAGTAGGACTAGGAAGCAGCGGCTGTTTGTCCATTCACCCCAGAGCCGAGACATTCCCAAAAAATCATTTATCAGCCACTTGCGATTACCCGCACATGCGAAAACAAAGTAATTTTCACGTTGAACAGAAAGTGTGTGCCAGGCAAAAGCCAATGTGAGTTTCCCTGTACGTCAGATTTGGCAGACAATCTGAGACTTCCATGTGTGTTTAGCTTTCCCTTTTTCAAAACAGTCTTCCCTACAACCGAATTAGAAGGAATAAGTGGTTTACAAATGGTGGAAGGATCATCTGGTTGTAATACAGGACTGACCGATCCATGTACTGTACATTTGTACATGTAGAGTGCACTGTACCGATAAGCCAGTTCAACATTACAACAGTACATGCTCAGTACGAGGCTATTGGGGAGCCTACATGTACACATGGGCTTGATAATTTGTCCTATCAGGGTAGCCATACGCAGACTCAAGCATGAACTTTGTTCCTAAAAAACCCTTGGCTTTTTGAACTACCGACCTGGCTCTTCATACCCTACAATTTTGTTAGCATAAGCGCAAGGCCTCACAATTGCCAATTCCTGGTTTCTCATCAGTCCCGCAATCAGAAATCGGCACAACATCCATTTCCTGTTTTTAATTTATTTATCATGAACTTTATTTAAGAATTAAATATTAAACAAGTGTCTCAGCAGAATTTTAGGTGTTGAGTTTTTATTGTAATGAAAAGTCAGAATCGTGCATTGTAGTCCAGAAGGTTAAGAAGTTACTCCTGATATTTTAGACAAGCGATTGGATTTTATCACATTTTCTGGATTCTTCATTATGTTTTGTCCCGGTGCCATTACTTTATGGCCCGTTGACAGAAACCGAAGCTTATATGAATCATTATTATCATTGTTTAGAGCCTCCAAACTACATGTACATCGGCGGCCAAGTTAAATCCTTTGGGGGAGGGAGGCCGTGTCTCATTGAAGGGCATTACTTGATTGCGTGGGCTTTAGAAACATGTTACAGATGACGATTATTATAGACCGACCATAGTTTATGCTTCCCACTGCTATATGCACGCAGTCTGGTTGTAGTTTCAACTCCTGTTGCAACATGCACATGTGCAGGCTGTGTCACATGGTTCCAGATCGAGCGGGATGGAGGATTGGAGCGTACATAATCCTCATGTAAAGAAATTGGCCCACACTTGTGCGTGCGTGTAATGCCCATCGGACAACAATATTCATGTATATAGGCCAATCATGCGTTTCTTGCCAGGAGCAAGTTGAACTCTTGAGCACGCCAGGTGACTTGCTCTGATCGTGGCGTTGTGGACGTTGTTTTTCCTCCTGCCACTATTCTCTGGTCGTCCACTGCAGATTAACGGCCATACATGTTGAGCGAGAATGGGTGCCGAGGCACGGTAGAGAAACCATCATTTTGGCCCATTCATTTTGTTTTATTTTAGAGGGAGGAGGGGCCAGGAAAGAGAGCGCTCTTTCAGGGGTGAGACTTCTCAGCTTATTAGCTGATTTCAGCTTTTTTTGTTTTGGATTTCAGCTTTTGTTCCTCACTGGCTGTGGACAGAAGTAGAGGAGATTTTCACAGTTCAGCTTCTCGATGCCTTTTTTTCAGCTGTTTTCAGCTATTTTTATCATTGGTCAATCTCACATCTGTCTTTGTACACTTGTGAAAATGGTGACAGAAATGGATGGCCCCTTAGTCTCCCCCCCCCCCAAAAAAACCCAAAAATATCTGGAATATTTAATATTTCTTACCATTTTCCTATCCATTTCCGCCTCCCGTCCCCTGACCCTTCCCCCGCCCTAGGATATACAGCAAGAGACAAGTTTCTTGATCAGACCAGAGTCGAAGACGCCAAAGCTCGACACCTCACAATGGCCACTCCTGCTGAAGAATTTTGACAAGTTGAACGTCCGGACTGGTCACTACACCCCGCTGCCGAGCGGCTGCTCACCGCTCAAGCGAGAGTTCAAAGATTACGTCTCGTGAGTTTGTCGGGTTTGGACATTTTAGATTCATCCGGTTCATTTTGTCCATAACCCTCAGGCAACCCTGGAACTGTAATTTCATATTAAGACAACGAAACCGAGAGAGAAGAGTTTTACTTGACAGTTTTCCTGCTTCCTATTATGTGGGGTATGCTTCCCAGCTGCTCTGTGTGTGTGTGAGTTTGTTTCTGCATGTAATTGGGGACCCTGAACAATAGCGGACAATTAGGTCCCCGATTGGCAGAGGGTCCCCGATTGACAACTGTGTACAAAACAGATGGGTGGTCTTCTAAAAAAGTTAAAGTACAAACAAAAGAGGAACAATAGGGGGTCCCCAGTTGCAGGCAAATACACACTTGATTGTGTGTGCGCAACAATATCTTTGACGCCGCTTCTCTTTCCAATCAGTAGCGTCAGAAGGTGCGGTTTCAGACGCAAGTTAGACCCTTGAACTAAAATCCACTTAGGCATCATTTCAAAATTCTTATCAGGTTGGTGTCAGACAGAACGGTCCAACTGATACATTTATTATCGGTTGGCTATCAGGTTTTCTATCAAGCTTTCTCAAGAGGCCAATTCTAACTGATAAATGCCTTTTTATTGGATTACTTTCATGGCTATGTGGTTTCAGTGGAGCAACACCCCTTCCATTATTCACTCGACACAAGTCACTGTCATCGGTCGGATGGCCCTGTCCTATAGTCAACCGATAGGAATTTTGAAATGATGCCTTAAGATACCTGCTTTTTAAGTCAGACATCAGGCATTGAAGCCCTCTGCAAGTGGAATTTCTGTACTCACATTTTTATTTTTTTTGGTTTATCATTATTTTTATCCTCAGGAGTGGTTTCATCAACCTAGACAAGCCCTCCAACCCCTCATCCCACGAGGTGGTCTCCTGGATCAAGAAGATCCTGCGCGTGGACAAGACGGGCCACAGTGGGACCCTGGATCCAAAGGTCACCGGCTGCCTGATAGTCTGCATCTCCAGGGCCACCAGGCTCGTCAAGTCCCAGCAGAGTGCCGGTAAGTCTGTGCTAGAACCCTTCCTGATGTAATCCTGTGCCCCCCCCAAAAATTTCCACCTCAACTTCTAGTTTGACGTGCCTAAAATATACATTTGAATTTTGCCCTGTTGTGTTCTTTGGAATGGCACGCAAATAAATGTGTTGTTTGTGACCCGACACGTGAACAAAGCAAGAATGTGTGATCACTGTTGGTGTAACGTCATTAGACTGTCAACCTTATAATTCACAAGTGACCTCTTTGAGGCAAACGCTAAGTAGTGCACCTCGTCAGGCTCTCCAGACTAATTCACTACCTCCGAAGATAAGGATACCTTCTCTGATATCTCGCTTCTGTTTTCTTTATCCCCCAATGTACTAGGCAAGGAGTACGTGTGCATAGTACGATTACACAGCGCTATCGAGAGCGAAGCAAAGTTGGCCCGGGTAAGGCCTACATTAAACAAAAACAGAGGCGGACGCCAGCCTCTACAAGTAGAGAAGTTTAGAATCGTAGTCAAGAGCAGTTTTGCCCACTGATGTGGCTGCATTTAAGGTCAACTTTCGACTTTACTCTCCAACCATTTCAAGTGTGGCATCCTGCCAAGAAGATGCTCTCTGAAGCTTTTTTTTTTTCCATCTCTGATTATTTAATTAGTGTCTTATTGGTGAAGAAAGTCTGGCAGGTTCCAGATTGTAGAGTTACCTAAACGTAAATTGAAGTCTTTTCGATTCAAAGAGTTGGCTCTCGACTAGTGTGGCATACTAATCTATCATTTGTGACCTGTATCACTCCTGGCTCTTTGGAAATGAAGTTGGCTTCTCTGAAGGCCATTACTACTTAAATGGTTTCATCCATTGTACCCGTTGGCTTTTGTCGTATAGGCTTTAGAGACCCTGACTGGTGCCCTGTTCCAACGGCCGCCCCTCATCTCCGCTGTCAAGCGACAGCTGCGGGTGCGGACGGTGTATGAGAGCAAACTCATCGAGTACGACGCAAAGAGACATCTGGGTGAGTCATGAAACGGCGGATTATCTTAGGTCTAGATCGAAGGCGAATCCGAAGGTCAAAGTCCAGTGAAAAATGTCGAACAGAAAAATTGAAGTCTAGAGTGGATTTGCTCGATCTGACAGTAGCAATACTTGTAGTAGCGAAGTCTGTCAGGAGCCAGTCGTGCCAATGTTCATCTCTGGTTTCTGTCCCAAGAAACCACTTAGAATCTCTCTCTGTTCCTCTGAATGGGATGTAATCCTGTTACAGGTTACTCCCTTGCCAATGCCAGTACCCATTCGTTTTCCTGAGTGACACGACGAGAGGTAGACAGGTGTAAAGTGGCTTGCCCAGAGACATAACCTACGGCCGGCCGCTGGATTGGAACCCTCGACCCTCCAATCATGAGTCACGACCCTTGACCACTCGCCAACACTCCTCCTCAAACCGAGGTTTGAAGGTTCATTTTTTTAGCTCATCTCGTCGAATCCTCCAGGTATCTTCTGGATGAGCTGCGAGGCGGGCACCTACGTCAGGACACTCTGCGTGCACCTGGGCCTGCTGCTAGGGGTAGGAGCACAGATGGCCGAGCTGAGACGGAACAGGTCCGGTATCCAATCAGAGAAGGTAAGAGGAGAGGTCATCCACAGGGTTAGGTTTTGGTTCACGTACATGCTTTGCATCACCAAGGGTTTTTTTCGATTTCCAGGAATCAAGGAAAACCTGGAAAAAATGGGTTTCCCTTTTCCCAGTCAGGAAAGAGTCAACGACTTTTGAGAAAACTCTCTGTCGTATATTTTGTGCACTGCTGCAGCATTGGAGATGTGTCAACTGGAAATGGGTCAAAATCATTAACCTGGAATTTTGAATAGTTGTCATGAAACTCTATGAAAATCAGAGACTTTTGTTTTCATGAAATGCCCGGAGCCCAGTTAACTGCAGTAGGCACACATACAGAGGAAACAAATTGTTTTTCCAGTCCTTGGTGGTCAGTCCTTTATAAGGTTCTTTGCTCAGTGATGCATGCCTGTGCTTCGTCTGAGGAGAGGACTATCTGCCTTGAGCAGAAGCAACCCCCCCCCATCAGTTGAAAAGAGCCATCTTGGTGGGGAGTGTTCATGTGTCGGTTCCTACCAAAGGAGCCTCCCTTGCAAGGAAAATTGCACCCTCTCGTGGTCCAGCTCAAGGTCCATTGGGACGACAGGAAAAAAGACAGAGCCTCCTGTGAAATCGCATAGTGTAAATGTATGTTTGAGGTTAGATTATGTGCGGTGGGGGAATGGGCTTTGGTTTATCGCCAATCGGACTGAACAAGTACTCAATCCCTGTCTTGGCCCTAATTGTGTGTCTCGTGTCTGCCTTCAAGGCCTCATGAGTACCTAAGGCATTGCTCACCTAAAAGCTCGTCACAGATCTCATTGCTCATCTTCGTACCCGTTTTCTGATTCCCACAGGATCAGCTGGTAACGATGCACGATGTTCTCGACGCTCAGTGGGTCTACGACAACCACAAAGATGAGGAGTATATGAGGCGAGTCGTGAAACCGCTGGAGGCGTTACTCACATCCCACAAGAGGATCGTACTTAAAGACAGTGCTGTGAGTATGATCGATGGAAGCGATTGTGCGAGTTAGATATGAGTGCATTGACTTGGAGGGAGAAACTGCATTTAAAGGATCAGGAAATGCATTTTGACCTTGTGACCTTTGACACAAAGGTCTGTCATTTTTTTCATCTGTAATTTTCCCATAGATTAACGCCATTTGTTACGGAGCCAAGGTCATGCTGCCAGGCGTGCTGCGATTCGAAGACGGCATCGAGGTCAACTCGGAGATCGTTATCGTCACCACCAAAGGGGAGGCGGTCGCCTTGGCGATTGCCCTGATGACGACAGCCGTCATGGCCACCTGCGACCACGGCATCGTGGCCAAGCTGAAGCGGGTGATCATGGAAAGGGACACCTACCCACGCAAGTGGGGACTTGGTGCTGTGGTAGGCCCCTGTGTTTGTTTTGGGGGGAGATTCCCACTGTCCTGGAAAAAATCCTGAATAAGCCTGACAAAAAGTTGTTCTGGAAAGTCACGGATAATCGCAGGAAGAAATAGGGTGTCTAGGAATCCTGTTGTCAGAGGAAATGTCGTGGAAATGGCACGAAAATCAAGGTCATTAAAGGTTTTTGTTGATGGGGCCACTTTTGATGTGATAACAGAAAAATGATAAATTTACAGGCTATATCCTTGTTAGTTTAGCAGTGGCTGTGGCAATCTTCCAGTCTGTAATACCAAACAACTTTTCTCTGCGAAATGACATCAGATTGTCTTAGTTTAGTTCTAGAAAGTCCTGGAAAAGTCGTGGAATGTGGTTTCCAGATCTCTGTAAGAAGCCTGGGCGCTTATTAGGCCAGCAGCATTTTATGACTTGTCAATCCAGGGGTGCCAAGTGAATTCACTCAAGACGGCTCCACATACCTGAAACCACCTTAGCCCCCTAGGGGCGCCAAAGCTGCCCTCACTTATACCCATTGTTACTCTGGGGCGGAGAGCGGCAAGAACGCATACATGCAGTGGGTAAACGACTTGCCCAGATTCAAACACTGAAGACACTGACTGCCAGGCCACACGTGATGGGTTCTGCGTGGTCTGAACTGCTCAGCATCCGTCGAAAGGTTGATCTCCCGTTTTCCCCGCGTTTCTTTTCAGGCCAGCAAGAAGAAGATGCTCATCCAAGCCGGCAAGCTGACCAAACACGGCAAGCCCACAGCCTCGACGCCAGAGGACTGGAAAAACACCTACCAAGACTACAGGTAGGGCCGTGTTTTGCTAGCTGGGGAAGAGGTTTGCCAAATTCACCGTGAACAAGTCGTTCAATTTGCAGTAGCAATCTTTTCCCGACTGGTTGGTCTTTCTTAGTTGTCGTTCTCATGATTGATATTTTTCATTCCTCGAACTGACCTGTTAATTTTCACATCTCTGGCAAGTCACCACAAAAGACCCGTTTTGAAGACCCTTTTTTTCAGAGACTTGGGGGGAAATGTAGACAAACGCGCTGAGGAAATCCTCAGAATGAACTGGTTTGTCAGATCCGGCCGGATGAGGGCCCAGGACATGGAGAGACCCAGGGATGGTAACCAGACTCCACAGTGACCCAACTCCCGTGGATGTATTTTCCAGTCAACTTTAGCCCGTGTTGTAGTCGAATCCATTGCACAAGTCCTTTCAGGAGTCCGTTCACAAGTCCTTTCAGAAGACCGTCGTAAGTCATGGGGTGAACAATGACACAGGAATGCGTTTGTCGCAGTTCATTTGAATAGCTTGCGAGTTGGCGTAAGACTGGATGACTGGTGACGGACTTACAGGGACTTGTGATGGACTCCAGTGCAACACTGACACCGGCTCAGCCTCTTTTTTCATTTGATCGCTCCAGTGTCAAGGCGGATCCTACCAACGGAGAGGCCTCCACCAGCCAATCCCAACCCCCCGCCGGGGAGACCCCCACCAAGAAGCGGCGGCGGGAAGAGAGCAGCAGCAGCGACAGCACCGAGAGCAGCGCAGTTGCATCGCCGGTAGCCGTGGAGGTTGCCACGCCGACCGGCAAGGAGGAGAAGAAGAAAAAGAAGAAAGACAAGAAGGAGAAAAAAGAGAAAAAGAAAAAGAAACCGAGGGAGGCAGAGGCAGCAGAAGCGATGACAGAAGTAAGTCGGATCAACTGCAAACTGTACTTTGGACGAAACACACAAGAGATCATGAAACTGCTCCAGTCGATGGCCAAGTTTACCCAAGATTGATTGACCTCAAAATGTCCGTAACTCTCCAGTTGCGTCTAAAATTCTCTTCTTACCTACTCTTCAGAAAACCGGCAGCATTTGGATTGGACTCATTTTTCGCACAAGTACCGTCAATTGTATATCAAACAGATAGTAGTTTTAAGGGCAACTCAGGTGCTTGTCACGTATCTGCAGAACAATGTCGAGTACTTGGGTAGCACTCGACCGTGACACTGTAATTTAAGCGTGAGAGTTGAACCGATTCTAAGCGCTGGTGGAGAAACCTTGAAGGTGTTGGGTTGGACTGCGTAGTCAGCTGCCGTGAAATTGAATTGCGTTTTCCTCTTTCTTTTTTTTTCAGGAAGCGTCACCGGAGAAGAAGAAAAAGAAGAAGAAGAAAGATAAGGACAAAAAGTAGCCGATGCCACCTCGTACCCGAAGAACCCTGTGAACCGCATGGAAGGGAGACTTCGTATATTTTACTTACTTCCCCTGGGAAAGCAATTCGTCTTCACACTGCCAGGTTTGATGGGAGCCGCACTTTGACAAGCAAACCGGAGGATTTTCAGCGAGGTTTCCTTAGTTTCAGCTCTGCTCCGGCTTCAGGGTATCAAATTTCGTCTGCCGAGTTAGAAAATCCAGCTCGGTATTTTTGTTTCTGCCCCAAAAGCTATGGAAATGTCAGAAATGAGGTGGGGATTTTTCACTCAGTCCAACCAGTTCACATCTATCCCAAGAGCGCCCTCACCGGCAAAGGAGAGACAGGCCGGTGGGAAGTTTTCCAACCAGGCTCGTACACGCGCCCAGCACACAAGCAAAGACCATACATTCCAAGAAAAATTGGTCGTGCGTACTCGGCTCCTCAAGGTCCCAAACCGCGTGAGCCCGTCAAAGGAAACAAAGTCAGAAATGGAGACGTGATTTTGGAAAACGGAGCAGTTGAATGCCAACAGCCATTAGAATTAGGAGAGACATTACGCAAAGGCTTCGGAACTGTATCTGCCGTAATTTCAAATCAGCCATCGTTGACTCAACAAAGGGACTGTTTTGGGCCCACTCGCTAACCAGAAACGACTTTCAAACTGCTTTTTTGGAGAATGTATTAAACCTTCTGACAAAAACATCTGGAAAATTTCCTTGGCAGCAGAATTGCAGCAAATAAGCACCACATATTGATAGACTTTTTGAGGGACAGTCAGATATTTTGGGAAGTTTTCTTCTGATAATGTCATTTTTTTTCCTTTACTCATTATTACATGTATAGTAAAAGCAAAGGTCATGCAACGGAAATCGCGATTATGCCCCCCAAAATCATTCCCATGGATACTTATTGCTTTTAATTCAGGCAAATTTGTACTAACTGTAATTTTTTTTTCTGGAGTGTAAAAAGGGTGATATTTTTTCATGAAAGAAATTAATTCCTGGGTACTTTTCTTTTTCAACTTTATGCTAACATTTGCTGGCTTTTTATGAGTTGAAAGCACCAGGTGCTTGAATTTAGTTACCTGCAAACAAGCCGTACCAATTTGAACGTTTTCCTAAATTGTTTTCTTAAGTTTTTCTGCTGAAGATTGCTTCAAGCATATGAAATGCGTGGGGTATTTTAGTGTCCGGAAATAAAAATTTCCGTACGGTAATTGTCAATAACTTTGGCATATTCCGGCTTCGGAATTATTGTCCGGAAGGTGAAGTAAGCAGAGAACGAAGAGCATGTGTCTGAAATGGGCTTCCACTGACACGGCTAGGTCTATGTGTACGCGTTTGCGTATGTCCGATGGGGGTGAAGACCTAGCCAGCATATCTGGGTGCCCGATTAAGTGCGGCCAGTAGTTAATGTTGGTTTTTAGTTGTGGGCACGCACAGTTCAGTCACACTCGAAGGACCCTTGTCGAATCATTTTGTGGAATCTTGTCGCTCACATTTTGCTCTTGACTGCAACTCCCGCAGGCGTAATTTGTTTCCTAGGAGGGTTAGGGGTGATTATAATAAAATGGGCGTATCTTAACCGTTGCGCATGCGTTTTCCATCTAGGGAGGTTGGGGGCAATTATCATAACCGGGGTACTCGACCTTTTAAGTATGAGACACAACAAAATTGCTTTTCCGGTCGACTCGCATGGTAGCTCAGTTAGAAGAGCTTTATACTTAAAAAGCAACAAGCCAAGGGCTCGAGTCTGCATTTTTTTTTGGTGTGGAATTGGTTGGAGGATGGTTTTATAATGGGAAAGTAAAGCCCAACATTTACCTTAGCTTTTAAGTTTCTAAGTGTCCACTAACCTGATCGAGCTTGCAGGTAACCACACCCGGATATGATAATTACCCCTAACCTTCCTAGGGAAGAAATTACGTCTACCGCAGCTTTCAGGGTTAATGACACCTCGTACAATTAGGCCTGTGTCCATGTGAGTGGTTGTGTTCCAGCCGAGAAGTAAAATCAGAAACAGTAACCAGCAGTGGGCACTGGGCACAAAATGGTCGACCAGGTTGATGGTCCAAATGTCCTTTAAGTATTTGGAGGCAGAAGTACGTATTCTCATTTCAAAAATCATGATGTCGAAATTTTACCTTATTGTGTGGATGTTGTCAGGCTACAGATGGCGCACTTCCACTTTTACGGGTAGCGCGCGCTAATTTCGCAAGATGTGATGGGCATAATAATTCTCAGAAATATTTTTACTTTAGATGGGTTATCTTCATCACATGGTCAGTAAACTATAGGTCATTGGTTAAAATGCCTTTATCTATTATTTCTAACTGGCATCGTTTGGGGTGAGATGTAACCGTTTCATTTTACATACAGGCCTACGTAGTAAAAAAAAATAATAATTTTTAGTAGACCGAATTGAGCGGTAGTTTGTGGTCTTTGGGATTTCCCCAAAATTACGTCGGTCGCTTAGCGGATTTGACAGGATGATATTACGATATAGACCTATTCACAAATAAATTTATAATTATGCACGCATGCGCACAGATTACCCTGGCGGTCAGAAGTGTGAGCGGGTCACTGAAAACGCACAGGGGTGCGATTTTGATCATTTTCTCTCGGATTTTTTGGCTTTGTTCAGTTTGTTTCGACAGAAAACCCCAGTCAATCGTTTTGCTATACAAACAACACGAAAGGAGACAGGCTTAGATACGGCAATCTCGTGCGAACAGGAAAAATCACGATTGTAGGCCTAAAGTGTTTTTTACAGAGCACTAACAATCCCGCTTGGATATAGCAAAAACGATTTAATGGGATTTACTGAAGGAAAAACGGCACAAGGATAGTACTCTGGACTCTTGAGACCTAAAACTACTTTCTCACTCTCTTAGGAATCAAACAAAAGATATATTTTTTTATTGTCTGAGAAAGGATGCACATGTCCAAGGCCTACACTCACTTCGGGAGTCACGCGTATAGTCACGTGTCACCTAAAATATTAAAAGCCTAAGTACGTTATAAATATGACTTTTATATCAAAAAATAGTAGGGTGTGCGATACATGCATCAATGAGACATGGAGACGCAAATCGGCCTTTGGGCCTTGAGACGGACGCGGATCCGGTGGAGGGGGAATTTGGGAGTCGAACCCCCCCGCTCAAAAAAAGGGAAAGGGGCAAACTAATTAAAAAAAAATATCTCAAGTAAGTGGACCAATAACATTGGTGCAATACACTGTATGTCATGTAACATTTTATCATCGTTTCCGCTTGTCCGCCAAAAACCCCGAGATATTAAAAATATCTCGGGCCTGACCCCCCTTGGGAAAATTCGTGGGTCCGCCTCTGGAGAGGTAATAACATTTGAAAACATTGCACTACAAACTGACGGAAAATTGGAGGGGCTGAAAGGCCAAATTATAGCTACAGTGCCCGCAAGACGACCTTGATATGTTACTTCGATGGAATGATAATTGCTGGGCCCGAGTACAGGTCGAGCAGCGCAATCGGGCGATGACGTCGCACAATCGCTCAATCCTGTGTGAAATTTTCAGCTCTACTTCCATTTCGAAACAGTTTTCCACAATCAAGAATTAGAAAGAAAGGCTATTGGCTAAAGGCAGAATTATCGGCAAACCATGAAGATCGGCAGATCGTCGCGAATATCGAGCGATTGCCCAGATCGTCTGATTGCGCTCGGCAATTAATCAATCCCTCCTCAATTAGTCCAAAGAGCACGTGAAACATACACTGCCACCAGGCCCTTGCCACTACGGTACTTTAAAATTCTTAGCATTCGATAAACATTCGAGGATGTACGGAATCCCCAATGGGTCCGCAGAGGCCCAAGGTTTAAAACTTAATTCGGAACTCACATGTTTAGTGCTAATCTAAGTTTGCGACAAACATACGACAGAAACATACTCAGTTCTTGTTCAACAACCTCGTGGGGCATATGTACAACCTTGGATGTCGGGTAGGCCAAGTTCATGTCCCAGATGTCCAGGAACCACGCCCCTGTCCCCCGAAATGTCTCCCNCTCCACTGTCTGCTTCGGCAAGCGAGGGACACCCACGTTTCAGAGTCTCGCCAGTAGCCGGAGCTGAGTGGCCTGGGCTGGTCCGGCTCGCACACTGGTATCTGCCTCATCAGATGATCCTTGACTAAGTTGGTTGCTGTTTTGTGGAAAGTGGAAACAACAGTCAAGTGGGAAGGAAAAACATCCACCTCTATTTGAGCATGTAGGCCCGTTGAAGGGTCGTGTGTCAAAAACAATCTCTTGTGAATTGCACCAATGTTTACTTACTGTTTGTAATGTTGATAGTTTTAGGACTCGCCTTCAACTTCTTTGAGTAGTTATCGCTGTCAGTGAAAGTGGAGACAAAGGGAAACTCGTTCTCAAACAATTTTCAATTGAAGAAAACGAAAACAGCTGAGATTACTCAATGAAGACAAAGCCGAGAAAGCACAGCATGCAGTAGTACTGAGCTTTGAGTCGGTGGCTAGTAAAATAGGATGTGTCTATTTTTGTCATCCGTATTACAAAGAGTCTTTACCCAAAGGAAATTAAGCGCTATTAAGTAGCGATTCTAAAAGAGTCAAATTTTACTTTCATTTTCCCGAACACCCCGTCAATTTAATTTATAGTTGTCCAAAAGAATTTCCTTATAATGACTTGGCGCGCGCGTGGATGGCCTCGTGCACTCTTGACCAATCAGAATTGATTTAACTGTCTCGTATTCGGGGGCCAGTGCGGGACTGTGAGTGACCAGATTAGAAGGTCTTATTTCGTGAGGCCTTCCTTTTTAAGTACGTATTCAAACACGGTCAATTTACACGTTGTTGAATAGGGAGACTGTCTGAGGTATTTATAAATACAAAATAATTATCAACTATGGTGAACGTCGCAGAGGTGTAGATGAATAGTCTGGTTAGCGGTCCCTACATTATGGTTTGGACTGTGAATACAAACTAGTCTATGATATTAATGTGATGTCAACAGTAAGGTGACATGCTTATTTTTCGCCCGGTCAAGTGATTTCTCTGGGCCAATAAAATTCTGTTACAGTTGCAAGACAGATATGTATAAGGAAAAAGGTGGGGGAAAGTGGAGATCCTTTGAATTAAATGGATAAAGACGCCAGATTCCCCACCCTTTGAGTCGTTTCTCCAACTTAAAGCGCGTCCCTCACTCCACCATTGTCCATTGTACAAGAGAACAAAAGGTTTTTACTAATGCTTTCACTGTGAGAATGAATTCCATCCATTGTCCAGCGTTGGCAAGCTATGTACATCTGCATGTACATAAAAGGTTTACTCCTAACCCAAACCTTTGTTTATTCAACTCTCCGGCTGGATGCCTGTATTTTTTTCATTTACATGTATACGCTTGTTGCATTTATATCAAGTCACACACGGAGACATGCGGTCGGCACTATCAGTGGAACGTAGGACGCACACACTGTCTTCGTCACTTCACCAAGTCCAAATGGATTTATATTTTATTTGAGATAGCCGCAGAGATCGAGGGCTTTCTACACAACAAACAAGTTTGGTGAGCGGCTATTTTTGGAAGCACAGTTCACTGTTTCTTCAATGAAGACCACGTTTGCAACCTAGCAATTACAGTCTACATCCCTTGGCCACAGTAGGAAGTTATGTCGTTTGGAAAAGGTATGCATTCGGAATATCGTCTGAGAGCGTTGATCGGTAAGTTCTAAATGATTAATGTGGTCTGTAAAGTTTTACATGTTGGAGAATCGTTAAAATTACCTTTAAGAACTTTTATAATTAACCGAGGAAGACTTAAAACTGAGGTAAAACAGAAAGTTTAATTTCAGACCGTACGACTCAAACAGTGTGCCGATTGGGAACGTTTTGCAGTGTGTGTGACGTAGTTATTCGATCTCAAGTGCGATTTATTTCTGTGTTATTCAACTCAGTTTCGATCTGCCATTTTTATGTACACTTAACACAGTGTACACTCTTGTCAATAATGCACATTCTAATAGTGAACATTCTTAAGCACAATCGACACTTTTCTGAACAGGGTGACGTCACAAGAATGTTTCACTTGGGCTCACGGAACACCTAACATCATTCTGTGATATAGGTGCCACGCTAAAAGCGAGGCTCCAATTGATAACCGTTAATGTGACCTTTTTACCTTGAATATTGTAAACTCGAATAGAATGGGCAGGAATAGAGCTTTGTGTTTATGACGTCACACTCTGTTTATATTCCAATCATTTTCCTGTGGAGCCCGGTGGGGATCAGGGTTCAATGACCACCATGTCGATCCACGTGCCTTTTGTTAACAGCGGGGGTATTTGGACGAGACATCCGTTCCTGAAGAAAAATGTCTTCGTAGTACCTTGCCACTGAATACGCCATTATCAGCCAAGTATCGGAGCCTAAAAAGTGATCTTGTTCATGAAGGTAACGTTACTCACCCTTTAAACAGATGCTCCTTTCCCCTTCTTAGCTCGCGCGCCCTCTCTCGGATGCGAGTGTTATTGTTATAGACTGCCACGATGGAGTCACACTTCAGCCCGTGGGCGGGTTGGTCGCAGAGAAGCACCGTTTTGCCAAGGGCGTACGGGTGCGACAGCTCGCACTTGCCCCGCCAGGGCCCTCCCCGCCTGAGCACGCAGGTCGTGGTGGACTTCTTGTCCCCTTCCTCGAACCTTCCGAGCCAGACGATGCGGTCGTAGGCGTGCCACACAGTGTGCACAAGGTAGTCCACGGTCTCACTGGGATGGACTAGCGTGACGTCGATGTTGGCCGTGCCCGACCAGCCGGCGAAGAAGTAGACGCTGTACGAGCCGTTGGAGTGGTCTAGCACTCGACCGGCCGTGTAGCCTCCACCCTTGGTAGTGAGGGTGGCGCACCAGAAGTCGCCGCCCATATTACGCGGTCGATTATTCTGGTCGCGTGCCTCTATCATCACGTGAAGCATCTTTGTAGAGACCCAAAAGAAAGCCAAATCACATAGATACATATTATAGGCCGTCCGCTGAAAACCACGAGAGGGCTTGAACGTGACTTTCGTCTCAGAATTTTTAAGCAACTTGATAACTTACGATTTAAAACAACTTTGAGAGCACTCGCTCTTGATACAACAAAAGTGACTAACTGGCATTAAGATTCGCTGTAGATTCCTTAACGTACTGTACAATATAGGCCTATGTCCTGGGATTATCAGAGGACATATGAAATGATTGCAATGCATACCGGTCAGTTGAATTGTTCAAGTTGATAAAACCCTAACGCGGTGCAGCCTCAAACCTGATGCATTTTGATTTTTCGCCTCAAGTGGCTTGCTAGAGCAATATTTTTACCTCAAACTTCACAATAATGGGAACATTCTCCTTTTGGATCCCAACCCGCGACTATGGATACGTTATTAGTATGAGGGGCAAGGAAAGTACCAATGTAATAATCAAGCGCCACCAACAAGCGTCTATTTACCCTTCTCTCAACACATGTTCTTTTTGGGTTTTTTTCAGGAAATATATTGTAAGTTACCTGCCCCTCTGTGACTGTGGCCGGGACCACAGAAATTTTTGAGGTTTTGTAGCTGGTCAGGCCCATGTTGCCGCGTTGGTGCAGCCACCGGCCGGGCAAACCCTTTGCGACCGGCCCAGACACTTGGCGGGCGATGTCCTTGGTGTTACGGGGGTTGGGGATGAGGTTGAAGCTCGGCCAGGTCGCTGCGGCAGAGGTGACATCATGGTGAATGCTGTGTTGTCCACTGACTTTTGGGTTGTCCCAGGGTGTGTCTAGAATCTAATTGGGCGGGGAATATATTTCGTAATTGTCGTCAAGACTCACGCTGTATTATATCCGTCTGCTCCACCCTTCGAAGAGAAGGGTATCGTCCCACTATCAATATACAAACGAGCTCCACTAGAGTGTATATACCGCCCGAGTGCACTCAACTGTGTCTTGTTTGAAGTACATTGAAGATTGTTTGAATTATATTAAATGAAGTCACACATGCCAACGTTTTGTGGTTCATTACAAAGTGTCACAGTTGAATGTAGGAGTGTGGATTGATTTTGCGATAGTATTCACTTTTTTCAACAGCCCACCCAAAAGGGTCACATTTTATCATATTTTATGCTTTTGCATAGTTTGAAACGGCAGATAAAAAGACATTTTCGAATGATAAACAGATATGCACGGGAGACTTTGTGGTGCACACCGCCCTACGACCATCTAGTCAGATAACAAAAAATACATTCAAGCGGAACAATTGTAGTCGGGCATTCTTGACAACGTCGCACGGACCAATTGATTGAACTCGACAGTTAATATTTCCAGCCAGGCGGATGAGTCGAGGCGAGTGCACTGCTTGTCATTCGGTCGATGAGCTAGTGCTGGCTTACAGAGCCATCAAAGGGACTCTACTTTGGAATTTATATTTACAAACTGTATGATATACAAAAGGTTCCCCCCTTTACGCGAAGGAAGTAAAAGAGGGCTTAGGTCAGTCTGTGACATTTTTGCACCCAGAACGATGTTATTTTCGAAAAAATAAAATGAACTCTCGTTTCTCTTTCCAACTTAAGATACTTCTTCCGCCGTTGTTGGAAAATAGGGCTCGATTCAAATATCCGTTAAGCGTGCGCGATTTTTTTTCATAATGGTACGCACGGTAGATGACCGGTGCAGCAGGGGTCTAAACTGGACTGGTCATACCATTTGTAGGCATAAAAACTTTGTCAGGATGTTCGAATGCTTGAAGGGCGTTCTCAATCCAAGAAGAGGGAAATAACTGTAAGACACAAGTAAATATGGGCCAGTTGGCAGTTAATTTCTTGTTCGTTACCCCTGAAGCATAATGGTATGGTCCAAACAGTCTGCTTGGCAACGTTGTTTAGTAAACATGGCTGCACTGTCTGAACTGATTAGTAAAATGCGTCATGTTGCTTGGGAACAAACCGCCAGTAGACCTTTGAAGCCTTCCATTTTTCCACCCGCAATGGATGATGAAAATGAAACAGCCCAGGAAAAAAAAGCCAAAAAACAAATCGAATGTACTTGATTTCAAAGTGCAAACAGGTGGTGGGATGTGATCGGTGTTTGTACAGGTGGAGGAAACCAAAAAAAGAGTAAACTTTGTTGATGGATAACGAGTCTTTCAAGTGAGAAACCTCTGGGGGCGAATTCGCTAAAAGATCAGGCCTACCCTCCTTTGAAATCCTGTCTGACTTACCCATAAACATGACGTTGATGTTAACATCAACAAAGTCACACATGCCAGCTAGATAACGATTTACAAGGCGTGCCGGGACTTTGACACCCTAGGTCCTCGGAATAGTTTGTGCCGGCAGGGGGTTATCGAGCAAAATTGATAAGCGGTTAGCAAACAATTGCTGACAGATCTTGGCCTGAGTTGGATATGAATCCACAAGTTAAGAAACTCGACCTCATTTGATGCTCTTGTTTTATATTATAGTCAGTGTTTCAAACAGTGTGGTTATTTAGTCTGCCGTACTTGTATATTTACATCCTTGTAGTATGTGAACGTTTTAATCTTCTATTATATGGCAAGGTCTTTCGTCAAGCCGTGTAAATAATTACTTTAGGAATCCAGTCCAAAATTCTTAGTGCAAATCTCCGACCGCGGCACTGCCTGAAGTTTGATGAATGAAATACCAGACTTGTCGGTAAACCAAATTCGGAATATTTTCCTGAACACATGTTTTCTTATGTTTGTTGTCTAAAAAAATGAATGACCATGGCAGGTTTCAACCGTATACTATATATATATACAGTATTTTAGACAACTATTAAAGGACAGTGTAGTGGACCGACAATTGACCACCGGTTGACCGCTTCGAAGCCCACCGGTCAGCCGTTACTTCACCGACAGTCTTCCGCCAGATAAAGCGCTAATCGATGAGCTCAAACGCCGGGTGTCTGGAGATATTGGCCCGCCAGTTTGGCTACTGGTGAGCCATGCAGTGGCAGACCGCTGATCCTTGGCAGCTGGGCACTAACGTTTGGGATCAAAATTCTGTAGTTTCTTTCAAAGTACGTCTTTTTTGGATTACATCATTCGCGTCAAATGGGCTGTTACGTTGGCCGTTAATTGTGGGCAAAAAACCGGGTTTTGGATCAGGAGTCAGCACAAGACTGCCTGAGAGGTGAGATCTCAACAGTAGACACTTCTCTAGCTCGGTTTTCAAGGAGGAAATTTAGTATCGGTTTCCAAACATGATGGTGTCAAGGAAAGGACGGGTGTTAAAGGCTTCTAGCCCTATCTGTTTTTGTTCAAGTACTGAAAAAAAGATTGCGTTGTTTTGCTGATTCTTTGGGTACGACATCACCAGCTACGTGTCCAGGGAAGTGACCAGTGTCCCAGTTTAGTTGTGATTCAGACCCTGAAAAATTAGTGTCTTGATTATTAAAGTTGCAGGTGCCCCTGTTTTTGTTGAGGCTGTGCAAGATGCATCAGTTCTCTTGTCGTCGAGGAAAGACAGGGAGACGGTCAAATAAAAACAAACAGACAGACAGATAGGAAACGTACTTACCGTTGTCAGAGCAGCACGACTTAATATGAGAATGATGCTTATTACCGGTAAGGAAAGGAGAACAAACAGAGAGAGTTTGACACGAATTCGTCTCATGCTGGTCAGCTTCTAGCAGTACGAAACAAATGTCGATATTTTCAGTGGAAAACCAAAAACAGCTTTAGAATTTACTCAAATATCTGCGATCACACACACAGTGATGATGGCTCAGCACACAGTGAAGATGGCGGGTTCTTTTATTCGTATGTATGGTGTTCCATATCTGCCATCACACTTCAACTTCAAACAACGTTGCGCCTTGGCGTCTAATGATAAAACATCGCACGTCGACTTTTGATGACAATTTTGGCCTTTAAATTCACTGTTCAATGTCGGGTGGCCTTTCAGATTGTCGTGCTTAATCTATTATTCATTTTATTATTCATGATTTTTTAAGCAGTCCAAAGCTTTGAAAATACAAAGTTTCGCGTTGTGCATGGTGAGATTTTTTAAGTTTAGAATGGGATTCACTCAACCATGTCCAGCGGTTCACAGCAGGTGAACGTCCGTTGAGATATTACAAGAAATGCGTTCCCTTTGAGAAATGGAAATATTTTCAATAACCAGTCCATTCATGGGGAACTTGTTGATAAGAAGAGTTCCGTGTGAATTTTACAGGTCTTGAAGATACCTCTTAGATATAAACTTTTCTCCGGAAGTTGTTCTTCAGTCAAATAGATCATCTTGGTAGATTTATTTCGTAGTTTCAAAATGGTTATGGAATTTATGTTCAAAGAAACAGTTGCATGTTATACACATACAAACACAAGCGGTCCTCCAGACTTTCTTTTGGTCCCTACACAGATACGAGGGTGTTTTCCAATAAGGCATCCTTAATAAACCCGGGGCCAATCTGCCTCAGGCAGAAGCACCCCCTCATCGGTTGAAGAGAGCCATGTTGGTCAGGAGTACTCATTTTGTTGGTAGCAATGTGACCATAACGCGTGCATTTCGTAGTCGTCTGTGAACCAGCGAGGTGCAGTTCCTCCCAGAGGAACCTGCGTTGCTAAGAAAATCGCGCCCTCTATTGGTTCCTCTCTCGGTTCATACATTCTTAAAAATTATCGCTTGTGGTTCAGCGACTGGGTCGGTAAAGTACAACGTTCGTTTTTAACCAGCACTTTAAATGGTCTCCCCTCCCATTAGTCGACGGATACCCCATCGGTTTACGACTCAGTGCCCCCACCCCAAACGTTCGAGAGTATCGACAAGAGTCTCCGTGATTATATCGACCTCTGGAATATCGACTCCAGAGTCCTTCTCAATACTCTTCCTCTTACGGGGAACTTTAGTCTTGCAGACAGCAGCTCATTCATGGCATTTAAAGACAAGTCCTGTTTCAAAGCGCATTTTCCCGTCTATCCTAAACACAAACACTGACTGCCACCACCGTAATATAAAGTAATATAAAGTAACTGAACCCCCCCCCCACAACAAATGTATTTACAGGCAAAGCATATTATTCCAAAGTGGTATAAGAAGAAACAAGAACTTTTATTCCAAAGTTAAGTGAGCCTAGAATTTTCTAATGAAAGATTCTTGTACACATCAAGGCAAATAAAGTCATAATATTTTATCTGTTCCTAATTTCACATCATTTTTCGCTTTATTTTCATCTACAACAAAATGCATACGTTCCCGAGAAAGGGAGATCTGTCTGAGTTTTCACGGTTTCAGACACCATGTTTAAATATATCTTAGTTTCTAAGATGCGAATCCATTCTTCGAACACTTTGTTGTCAACTTAAAAACGTTTCATAGCGAATCACTGTTTTTTGGCCTTAAGGTTGCTTCTACTAAATTTGAGAAGATGCTTTCAGTTCAAGGAGAGTTTTTCCTGGCATTGGTGAGTTATCAAGGTGCCTTTAGAGGAGGCATCTTGCTGTCACCGCACACGTAACTGAAGAACAACTTCACTTCTTCATGGATGACAGTGACAGGCATGTGGATTGTTTTTCGGCCTGGGAAGGCCAAGTTGATGTCCCAGATTGGTAGAAACCATACACCGATCCCGCCCAGCAACCGCTGGTTGATCTCGCCTATTCCCTTCAGAATCACGTCACTACAGTAGATCTTCGCGTCGAAGTCCTTCTGGTCCCTGGGGTGGGGCCCCTTCAGCACGATCTTGGTCTCTGGACACCGCCTTCGGAGCCGGATCAGCGCCTCTCGTAACAGCTGGGTCCGCTCTGTGTAACTCTCGCGCGTCCACTGGCTGAAGTGCGCCCATGGACTGACCATGATGACATAGTTGCATCTCGTGTCATTCAGCTTGTCTATCAAGTCGTGCTCGTAAAACACCTTGCCCAGTTCCACGGTTGCGCTGCCGACCAGCTCTTTTGGAAACGAGATCGTGATGGACAAGTCGATATCCTTGTAATACCTGTGCCAGAAAAACGGGAAATCGTCCAGTCTGCCCACAAACTTTCTGTCCATCAGGTCGAGAATGTGCACGAACCACTGGCGGGTTGTCGAATCGCCAAACAGGAGCACAGTCTTGCCTCGTAAGCACGACGTCAGGTTGGATTTCTCAGTCCAGTCTTTGATATCGCAGAGCAAGGAATGCCACTTGTCTTCCAGCCAGAAGCCTTGGCTGACCGGTAACTGCATGTCCGGCAGACACCGAGGCAAAGGTGGATCGGCAACAGCACCGGCTCCTGCACCTGCCGGTATTAACGAAGAAGACACGAATGGTTTACTCTGGGTGCACGGACATCCCCTTTACCTTCAAAACTTGGAGATCGAGCCCCCCCCCCACGGGGCGTGAATGATAATGCAGATCCCTGTGTAGTGAATGAGCGTAGTACATGGAAACTATTGTCGCGGTCTAAACTCCGAAAACTCACATTTTGTGACTTTTACTTCCAACTTCTATAACATGTAAAACCAAGCAATGCATAGCCCACTCGTAATAAATCTTTTAAGTGCAGACTTTGGTCCTGAGATAAATACCTTCACGAAACACTTCAGTTTATTGTGACAGTTAACACATGTGGAAGCCGCAAATTGGTGAAACTTTTTATACTTCAGTGAAAAACATGATGAACAATTTTTTCCATCATAGCTTTTAGCGAAAGTTGGACGGTCTTGCTTTTGTATCACCTACTTTTCTCCTGGGATGGATACATCCACACACTTTTTTTTCTACATATTATCATCTGCTTACCGGAGATTTTAACTGTTGGATCCAGGAGTTGAATCATTGGCTTCAACTTAGCCCTGTAAAGAGAAATGAGGTTAAAAATAGAAATTACTTTGGAAAGAACAGAAGTATCAACTGTATCTCTCTGTGGTAACCTTTGAAGAGACAATTACACAGTACTTTTCCTGCCCACATTCTCGAACAAACAACAGAGGCGAAAGCTGAAATAAGTCTTAATTAAGCCAAATTAGCTGGCCTTGGTAATTGGTTACTATGGTAACTCTATAACTCTGAAAGAACTCTGCAAATAAAACGAACAAAATATAAACACTAAACGAATACAGCACCTTTGGAATAAATCCTCTTTTCCTCGGGACAGTTCTCTCATCCTGGCCGATATCCTTCTACTGTCGCTCTTTGTCGCATAAAGAGTGCTACAGTTCACACCTCTTGGCTTGTCACACAGGAAAACCGTCTTGCCGAGTGCCTTTTTGTTTGGGTACACGCACTTGCCCGTCCAGTTCCCTCGCCGACTTAGCCTGCACAGCCCCGACGACAGTTTGCCCTTCGCGCCGGGGACCTTGAACAAACCCCGCCACACCACGCGATCTTCGGCGGGCCACACCGTATTCAGCATGAAATTTACGGCTTCGCTGCTGAGGACGCGCCGGACGACGATGGTCCCCTGACCTGCCCAGGCAGCGAACACGAAGACGCTGTACGTGCCGTTGTTGTGGTCCACGATCTTCCCAGCGGTGCTCGCTTTTGGGTTGGACTTGGAGCTCAGGGTGGCGTACCAAAGCCCGCCTCCCAAGCCGAGCAGGGTACCGTCCTCATGTGTGCAAGTTATCAGGAAGTGTAGCATGTCGCCGACTTTAATGGCATCTCTTGTCGGTGACACAAGTGACACGGATATTTTGATAGGTCCGGCGTCCTTTGGAATCAAGCTCTTCGGGTGTGAGTCGCCTGACGTCGGATTGTCTTGAACTTCTTTGGGCCTGACTGAATATGATCTTATGTGAGCTGGTTTGATCCAGGGTTTTATTGGCAAAGTAGATGAATCCTAATTAAAAAAAATCAAATGTATCCCAATGAAATCATCAGCCGCAGAAATTTAGCCAGCACGAAACGAATTTGTCACAAAAATAAAGACAATTTTCGGTCGGGAAATATTTGCCAAAAGTTAGGAAGAGACAGGTGATTGTCTGACACTTGCTTTAATATATTCATTGCAGAAAATAGTGTGTAACTTACCGCCGACTTAGTTCCTTTCCTAAAATTTGAATATAAAATTTGACAGGGCCAGCCTCCTTTTCCCTCTTTTATTTTGGACAATCTCACAGTTCCGGTGGCTGTCCCATGTCCGATTTTTATCGGACACTTCGCATGCACATAAACCTCTCCTTATTAGTACAAAATTAATGCAAAGTTTCAACTCACTCTGACACAAGTCATGTTCGTCGATATTTGATAACATCTCAGTGAGTAGGCTTCACTTACACATAGTGTCCCAGAAATACCGAATTCTGAAATAATAGTTGATCTAGCTAAGTTGTGTCTTGCATGATTATAAATATGCATTTGCCGTAATGTAAGCGCAAGATCCTTTCAAATGCAATGTAATATGTTGTTGGCATTGCTGTAGTTATGCTTCAAATTGCACCATTGCTTCGACAGACATAAGCTTTTTGTCATGCTTGGTGAAGCATAACTGAAGGGTAGCCAGCAAGGTATCATTTGAAAGAATTTTGCTCCTTCGTGACAAATGTGTGATTGCTAACATACATTACACTATTTGGTAACATTAACCCTGTGTTTCGGGATGCAGTGTTTTTTCTGGGACACCATGTATGTACTCACATGCACATAACCGCCTTCCAGCCCTCTGACCGACTTTGCTCTTTTTTTTCCAACCTGGGTATCTTTTACTACCCCCGTAAGAAGGGAGGGGAATTACATCATTTGGCATCAGCTATTTCTAGCTGCTGTTTGCTGTATTTGGCAATAGCATGCGTTTTTTGGACCACCCTGTCAAGCACTGTTCCAAAGACTTCATTTCAATGTTTGGAAGCAATGTAACAGTACAATGCACTAGGCTAATGTCTCTCCCCTGTTCAACCCCCAAAATAATGCCGTAAAACTTCGGTAAACTAATTCGAATTCAAACATATGACGTTGTAACAGGCAAAGTGCAAGGCATCTCACCTTTTTTTCTGGTACAGATTTGTAGATTTTTAATTTCATCGTGTATTTTTCTACTCACCGTCAGGAATATTACGGCAGCGAATCCCAAACAGACCACAATGGATATGGCGAAATATACCCGCAGTCCTCGGCTCTTTCCTTTTGTATGATCCAATTTACCCATGTTTTGCCAGTCAACACCACCTGGCGGCTGATCTGTTTTTGTGCCGTGTTTGTCACCGAAAGAGTTTAATTAAAGACGGTGGCAGGAGGAGAGAATAAGCAGCAAACCGCACTTTTCATGTCTCCGTGCCGATCGGCATTTTTTACCCAGGCTGCACTAACAGAGTCACTAATGCAATTCGTGAACTTCGTGCTTAGGGTCAAGTAAAAAGTACGGAGATTTAGAAGGGACATTGACACAGGCATAAGCCCCAGCGGCGGCGGAACAATCTTCAAAGTGGGTGGAGGCAGTGGTGGGACCATCGGTGGACCTCATTAATGATGACGTCACTCTTTGTTCACATCTTTGTATGTGTGCTTTTCTATCCCTACGGTGCTCAGTGGACCGTAGGCCCCCACTGGCTCCAAACAAAGAGTGGCGTCATCAGTACATAGGCCTATTCGTGTATCAAGCATCAACCAATAATTAGGCCGATCCATTAAGTCCAAACCAATGATAGACCCTGGAAAAGGCAAGGGGGCATACCCCCAGTCGAAAGGGTTGGGGCAGGCTGCCATTTTTCCCAAATGATTTTTGTCTTCTTTCTTGTGATTGGTGTATTACATGCATATTCAGTTGCATGGTTCTCGACCTCACAAACCAAATTTATAGTGAGAATGTTCATTTCTCACTTGTTCTTTACAAGCTTAAAAAATTGTAAACGAGAGAGAAGATTCGAACCTGAGACAGAGGATTTCAAGTCGGGAGTACTCCCGACCAATCCACACATCCGCTGCAAAGCTCCGGTGAATTTAAAATCTGTATACTTTGTTATATAAGATAACCACTCCTTAAAGCCATGGACAGAATTATGAATAATGCAAAAGCAAGAGGGCGCCCTCATTCGAAAATGTTGGATCTCTTTTGGGAAAAAAATACGCGGACAGGCTGGCCCCCTGCCTCCTCCCCCCCATCCGCACCACCCGTTCATTCCCTAGACACTGTCCTTCGGCTATAAAAGCAGCGGGTAATGAATTCAGAAGAAAACTGCTCCGTGTTCTATGTAAATTAGGTAATTAGTATATAAGTTCTGGCAATGCAGAGTTAAAAAAAAATTGAAATCACTGTATGCACTTCCATTTTGCAGTTTCCTGTTAAATTCATCACTGAATTTGAGTTCAGTTTGATACCTTGTTCTTGCGCATCGAAGATGAGCCAAGAGAATTATTCTTGACATTAATTTAGTTTGCCGAAAGGCACAAAAAGCCATTTACAACAACCGTGAATGATGTACGTAGGACTATCCATGATCTCGTCTACTCTCCGATTTCAAAGGAGGTTTGCTGCACGCATCGGGAGCCACCAGGAGCAGCTTACTAGTTACTTTAGGTGGTGTAAAAACATGGAAAGATGCCTAAATGCTGCTCATGTTGGCAACACGCATGAACCCAGCCGAAACTCTAGACGATATGAGGTGCTTTCTTTTGGTACATACAAGGGGCAATCAAAACCGTTACGCTGGATCGAGCTTTTGGTCCTAATATTTAATGGGGACGGGGAACAGTTAAAACAAACATGCTTTGCGTTTTTTGCACTAATTCCCTTAAAGCATGGATGCGTAACCAAGGCAAAGAGATTCGGTACTCACACCACCTCGTGCGCTTTCCAGCGGGCCGATCGCAGGGTTATAATGTGTGTAATCTGTGGTTGCTTTCTGCATCAAAATCTTGCAAAACCTCTTTTGTGTTTCTTGTAGATGTACGCAATTAATTTCAAGATCCAGAGTTATAATACTCATAAATTTAAAGAGCACTGAACTATCACTGCAGTAAAACATTTGAAATATTTCTCTCAGAAATCCTCAATTCAACTAAGGACTTATCTATCTCGATGGTGACACAACCGAGCCTTGTGAGGTTGGGATATTGGTTACATACCTCTACTGTAGACATAGTGTGTTATGTAAGGCGCCACCATGTGTCAAAAAATGTTTAGGAATAAAGGGGGCCATGAAAACCCGCCAGTTATTACCAGTGTTGTAGTCGAGACCATCACAAGACCAGACACAAGACCACGCACAAGACCAGTCACAAGTAACAGGGTGAACAATGACAAAGGAATGCTTTTGTTGCAGTTCATTTGAATAGCTTGTGACTTGAATTCAGACTGAAGGTCTTGTGTTGGTCTTGTGAAGGTCTTATAAGTAGTCTCGACTAAAACACTGAATATTACACAATAACATTAATTTGACATCAAAAATAAAAGGCACACTGTAATTTATTAATATACACAAGAACATTACATTTAAGAATTTTTTAAATGCCTATTCCAGAAAGACACTGGACACCGTCCCTTCACATGCTTTTCCTCTGTTGGCGGAACAACTAATTTGTTTAATGGTGCCGAGCGTTCAGGGGTTTTTCTCCCAAAGTCGTGCAGTCATTTTGACACCGATTTTAAGAAACTTGGACAGACTGACCTCACGAGATGTTCATTTTCCTACGGACAGGCAGGTAATAACATTTTATCTTCTCTCGTGAGTTGTGTGACTAATGTTTGGCTCGATTGACGTGAAAATTAATGTCCACTGTAAAGGTCTGCGTTCGAAAAAGATTGGTTATGGAACTGCTGAGGCTGCATCCGAATCTATTGTCTAGACCTTGGTCTAGGTCTCTGCTCAATTGGAAATGTGTGGAGACGCGCAGTCAATAGACCTAACCGTAGCTCTGAAAGCCCGTTTCGGACACGGCCTGATGAGTTAAGGGGCAGAATACGCTCCAACCAGCTGCGAAACAACTGAACGCTCCCTTTGGGGTATCGATGATATCGATACTTGCTAGAGACTGTGAGTCCACGTGTTATTGAAATCATTGTTTGAACTTCATAAATTCTACTTGATTTTACGACAAACGTAAGACAGAAACATACTCAGTTCTTGCTTGACAACTTCATCGGGCATATGTACATTTTTGGAGACAGGGTAGGCCAAGTTCATGTCCCAGATGTCCAGGAACCACGCCCTTGTCCCCCGAAATGTCTCTC